TGGAAACGCATAAAGACTTAAGAGAAAACCAGTCTTATATCTGGACCAATCCTGAACTTCCATAAAGTCATTCGCTCGATTATACTCAACACACTTTGCTCTTCTGGTATAAGTCAGTATGAGAGAAACAATCAAGCCTTGCAACTTGATCATGACACTGCTGATCTTGTTTCTCTAACCTACCAAAATGAGGGCTGGGATGTAACTTGAGAGGTCTTCCAGTCCAGAGCCTTCACTTAATGCAGGATCACGTTTAATAGACATTCAGGAAGCAGATCAAGTTACCATGAGGTAACGAGCCAATTCCTTGCGACAAATGACCATGTCGGCGGATTAAAATAGAACACATTATGCAAAACTTTGCTAACAAAGGTGTGAGGAGCTGCTTATTAACACTCAATACTAGATTGTAGATCATCCCTCAGAGAAATCAAACCATTTCTTAAGACAGACAGAACGATTGCACAATCCCCCTTAGTACCTGTTCCAGCGCATAAATACCCTTATTGACACAGGACTGACACAGCATCTGCCTTAAATTTCTCTTCGCGCAGCCAAAACTTTTGTATCATCTTTCTTTACAATTGCATGCTTGAAGAATAAGTGGCTGTTAGGCTCCTACTCCTGCAGTACTCAGACTGTTTCTCATCTTTTCTAAACCTCTTAATATTCCTAATGCCATTAAGTGGATTGTAAACTGTTCTGTTCTAAAGGTTGATTTTCTTTCCCCTAAGTATTGTACCTTGTTTACTGAATTTCTTCATATTGATTTCTGGCTATTATATCCGTTTTTCAGGAACATTTTAAATCATAAGCCTATTCTTCAAAGTGCTTTAGTATCACATGAAAACTTTACAGCAGTGTAACGTCCCTTCTGTTAACTAATGAAAGTATTGAACAGCAATGGATTCGGGACAGAGAGACAGCTCTGGAGGTCGGATCCCATTTGATAGAACCTCCTACTTTGACTAAGAATTTTAAATTACTCTTTAGAGTAATGCATTTCCATTTGACACCGATTTAATCTTACTTACCTCTACCTACTTTCCTTATGAGGATGTGGGACAATATCAGAAGTCTCACTGAAATGAAACCCCATATTCCTCCTTTACTGTCCCCTCCATTCTTTGCACAGGGAGTTACCCTCTAAACACAGCTTAGAGGATAGAAGGAGTGTGGACATACCAAGATGAAAATGTGGAATCTTAGACCTTAACTTTTAATGTTATCTCTGATCTTTTAAACCATACTTTCCAAGGCCTATTCTTGGAATCAAGCCTCTATAGTTTGTCCTTAGATCTCTTTTATTCTGAAAGAGGATAAGGCGTCAAAGTTTTCTGGCTCGGAAAACCTCCGCGCATAGGTGCTGTTGAAAAGCTGATTCAAGGCAGATTTGCAAGGGAAATCCTAACATCTCAGTGATGAGAAGAGAGCATCAAGAGCAACAAGAGTACATCATTATCATCATTGCATCTGGTGAGGAGGACAAAAATAAAGAACTGAATTCTGCTTGTGTTTGTCCTCATCACCTGACTGTCTCTGAGCTGCTTGTTTCCAACAGAAACCTAAACAGGTAGAAAAAAGGCAGCTGTGTAATTCCATGGGTGCTCCTCTACAACTGCAAAACACCAGTAGCAGAAAAATAAATGTAGAAATGACATGACCCAAGCCCTAAAATTGCAGTTGGTTGTAGCATTTTTGGCCGTGTCACTCCAGGTCCTAGGGAACAGCACAAAATCCAGGTACCAGCTACTTCTGCTCTACAGCTGCAGCAAATCACGAGAGCACGCAACTGTCCTGAAACCAGTATCCACCCACCAGCCCCACAGGCGAGAAGATGGCAGAATTATCACAGCAGCAATACTCAGGATTGCGCCTGAACTGTCTCATTGACACATCCCCACCTGTTCTCGGTGTGCTTTTGAGCAGAAAAAAGGAAAACTGAATCTCCGAATCCCCATTAACACGCAGAATGAACAGGAATAGATTTGTAAAGTGAAATAGCTAAGCCCTAAGGATCTGATGTCCGTGCTACAAGAGTTTCAGGAGGTTTTACACTGAACTGGTTCCAGCATGATACTATGGACTGAGTGCACTGGGGGTACTTGTGCATTCCTAGCACGTCTGGTTTAGGATTGTACAATATTTTGGTGCTCCGTATTATAAACCAAAGCGTAGCAACTGGGGGAAATTTGCTTTGAAAGCAAAATATACACGCACCTGACGATGCTAAAGGGTGCTGAAGCCTTTGCATTCATTAGGCCTGCCATTCCCCTCGCACAGAACTGCACTGGTTTTGTTGCCAAGGCCCTCCTCCAACCGCCAACAGGAGACAGACAGTGCCCCAGACACACAATCGCGGCATTCATGGCAGAGAAATGAGTTCAGCTGCGAGAAAATGTTGAAAACTGAGCAGTATTTTTTTCAGGCAAAAGTTTACCTTTATGAAATGGAGTTGATTACGCAAATTACTCTTTTAAGCTGCATTACGATCAGCTCCCAGTTACCTGCAGAAAATTATGCTAAGCACAGAGCACATTGAGCCACTGACACCAGTGCGGATATAACGCTGCAATGTGATGCACAGCGAAGAGATGGATGCCCCTACCCAGTTTCCTAGGCACACTCCAGGTCTGGAACCTGGAACAATACATTGCTTGAGCTCAATATTGAATGTGTGCTAATAAATCCTTCCAGAGATTATCTAGCTTTTCACAGGGCCAGCCTGTGTATCCCTCCACTGCACTCTAGAGCTGGGTCCACCAGGAAACACACTGCAGAGATGTCCAGGTGGGTGTGGAAAGAGATAACCTGTGTCTGCTGGGCACAGTTTAGTGCCAGTCCTTCTGAGGTTGGACTAGATGACCTTTGGAGGTCCCTTCTGGCCTGGATGATTCTGTGATTCTATGATTCTATGACTCGGCATCAAAGGCAGCAACAATCACCTCAGCAGAGCTGGGAAGCTGGAGGAGCAGGATGAGGTAAGGCCCTAGGCTGAAGGGGAAAATGAAGGAGATGGCAGCCGGAGGGCAATAAGAGGTTGAAGAACATGTCTCAGGCCTGGGAGGTGTCGAGAACAAAGCTGTGGTTGTGGTAGCAGCCCTGGGCATGGGAGGGTGAGGTGAGGAGGCGGGAGGAGATGGTGGCAGTGATTAGTGTCTCCTTGCCTCTCTTTACTGAGCTCCCTTTGCATTTTTGGAAGATTTTAACCCATTGTGAGCAGCATTTCAGGAATGGGCAGATCTGCCATCACCTGCCTTGTCTCCTGCAACCTGGAGCACCAGGCAGACAGTGCAGATACCCCACCAGCTCAGCAGCACTGACCACAGGTAGCTGGATTTCTTTGGGAGAAACCTGTGTCATTTGGATTTAGTTATTTCCAGCATGCCCCAGTCCCGAGTCACCTCGGATAATAGAGAGCAGACTACTTGATTTCATCTTTCTAAAACCTGTACTTACCATAGTTTTTCCTGAACGTAGTTGAACAGATACCTGTCAAGTGTGTTGGCTAATTCCTCTAGTTAAGAAAACTACCTAACATATTTTCTGGCCTTTGCTACACTCCCAAGAAAACGAAGTGATTTTAATATACTCAGCTGTAGTGTTTTCATATGTAATTCTGTCTTTTGGTAATCATTTGCTCTGTGATTCATAAGTAGTACACAGTGATTTCAAGTTTTTAAAAAATCTTATTTTGATTCTTTCCCATCTGTGTTTGTTTGCAGCTACTTTCATTCAAGTGATAAGGGAGAGTGTAATACAAGCGTCCCTTGTATTTATACTACGAACTCAAATATTTTAGGAAAGTTACTTAAACAATAATGCCTGCTTATGCTAAAAATAGCTTTTTGTTTTCCCTCTAGTGATCTCAGTCAACACTGCGGCTCCACTGCTCAAGCAGAGGCCTGCGCAACTTACGCCCAGTGGCCAGATGCAGCTCGCAGCCTGTTTTATCCCACTCACACCAGAGAGGCACAAACAGGTTGGTGCATTTTAACAAGCTGCCATGCATAACGAGTTCCTGCTGAGTGACCTGGAGAAAGCCCTTGAGACCACAGTAACTCCACCATCACCCAGCCTGCAGTGAGCAGGCAGAAAACTGCTGGGTCGGGGAAGGGAAGGGCTTGGTCAGAACCAGGAGAAGCTGGGTGCCCTGAGTGAAGAAGGCAAGAAGCGTGGGGAGCACGGGGTAGGGGCTGCTTAGGGAAACTGAATGTAAAATAAAAGGTTGGGGGTTGTGCTGGTGGAAGCTGGTGTGCCCCCCCGTGCTTTCAACAGGGAGTGGGGTGAGGGTGTGTGAACAGGGAAGTGCAGCCCATCTCCAACACCTGCACCTCGACCACAGCAAACCTGGACAACCCCCTGCAACGCACCTGGGAACAAAACCCAGGAACCTCCTAAGGTCTGCAACATAACGCTGGTAAATCAAAATATCTAATGACCCACCCATTCATTTGAATTCTGCAGGCCTGTTATTTGCAAACAAGAGGTTTCATTCAAATTATTTAAAATAAGTTGGTGTTGGTTTTTTTTTCTCCCTGGCTTTCTGATTTATTTCTCCAAGACAAAGCATTCCTGCGTACGAAGAACTCGCACAGAGCCAGAGGAGCCCCGTGAACACACACTTTCTCATCGAAACACCGAATCACTCCTGACCGATGCTCCTTAAAAACGTGCGAGGCTTTTAAAGACGTGTCTACTCGCCTAAAACACAAATAACTTTGTTTCCACCGCGACCTGCCGCTTCCTAAAACACCCAATTCCCATCCCCATCCTCGCTTGGGTTGAGGGAGACCCCGGGCGGGTACCGAGCACCCTGCGGGCACAGGTGGGAACCGGGAGATGCCACCGGTGGCGGAGGGATGGAGGGGCCCCCGGTGGAGCCGGGCTGGGCGCTCAGCGGGGCAACCAGCCGCCGCAAAGCCCGGAGCCCCGGGGAGCCCGGACACACCAAAACCAGGAGGAGCGGCCGCAGGGGTCCGGCGGGGTCTGGCCCTTACCTTGTACCGGCGGAATCCCTCCAGCTGCTGCCCGCTGACATACCGCCACCGCCACATCGCCCCGCCGTGCTCCGCGCCGCGC